ACCTGTTAGCGTAAGGTGCCCCATTAATGCTTTTGTTAAATGTCTGCACTGTGAGTGTATTGTGCCATGAGGTCATGTGACAGAAGCCCATACGTGTTCATGCATCACAGGGGAACTGAACTATGACCTCTAATCCTGCCGGAGGCAGAGCCCGACCCAGCTGGCGAGTCCTGCCCTTGCATGGTGACTAAAAGCCAGACATTCGGAAAATAAGCAGGAAGGAAACACTCACACCTGTACCGCTGATGGGGATCATCCCCCAGCCCAGATCACTAAGGTTCAACCTCCATAACCTGAAAAGAGCTGCAATTATTAAAAGCTGTGTTATTTAATTTTGTATCATCAAAGCAATAATAGTACGATTACGTACTGATATCACACCCGATTTAGGCTACTTTCTAGAAGTATGATATATTATAGTATATGAAGTGTTTGAAAATGTCCAGTCGTGTTTAAGATCTTTTTGAAAGGTGAATTTAGCAGACTTTCACAATGTTTTTCATATCACATGGTATCAATATTTCTCACAATATTATTCCATCATTTCAAGGTGCTATTTTTGCTTAAAATTCTGAATTTAGGATTCCCCTTATGCAGATTCAGAACTTGACCACAAATTGAATGGAATGCAATTAGAAATATAACTTTTATAAATAAATCATACCAAATGACCTTTTTGCCATGACGGGTGCTCGAACATGCTGACAGTGCGGTTTGCCTCTGGGCCTTTCCTCCGACTGCTGGTTCCAGGGGTCTGCTTTGACATTGCCGGGAGAGTTGCTACCCAAAAATAAAATTGTGTCCGGTTTTGAGCCAATACGGGATGTGATTTGTCCCACTTCAGATTGAAAATGGAATCCCTAGTTGAGTCCCTGACTGTAAACACTTGCACTCTGTATGTTCTGCTGGATGCCAATGCTTCAGGTGGTGAAATAAGTTGTCAGTATTTCCAGTTTTAGTTGGCGCGAGTTTTTTGGAGAGTTTATAGTACAGAACACCAGCCTGCTGCATGTCAGACTTCACATTGCCAGACAACCTTCACACCACCATGTCTTTTTACCTTGTTTACCCACAATATCCCCCTTGTTAAGGACGCCGTCCCTGCCGTGCCTGCTCAGCTGTCCCTTTTCCCCCTGACGCTGAGCCTTCTCTGAGGGAGTGCTTATCTCGTGTAAGATGACACCAAAACAGCAGCACGCGGCGTGCTCCTCTAACGCATCCAACTTTGCTCTGCGCTTGTTGGTCGTAATTGGCTGCAATTGCATGCATTTTTGTGATGCGATAGGCTGATGTGTGCTATCAATCAGTCCTCCTTATCGACAGCTTATTGACGTCTTTTTCTCATTTTCTTATCGTTTAAATTTTATATTATGGTTCGGGATCCTGCTTAGGACAAGTAGCTATAGTATCTATATTGCCCAGTGCTAAAGATGTATTACACATTACAGATCCCCTAACCCTAACCCAAAAGGCTATTATACATTACACAGCATATAGCACGTCTCTACACCCCTGACAGACCCTGTCCCGGCCCCTAACTACCCCCCTACCCCCTGTGCTGTCAGCATTGCCCTGACTTATACCCCCCCCCCTCACCCCCTTGTACCCAAGGACCTGGATCTTGTTTTTCCTAAGCAATGGGCCACCCCCAGCCCCTACCAATCCTACCCCCACAACTGGAACCGTTCAGTGCCACGACATTCCCGATCCCAGAGTCGGTGCAAATGGCTAGGGCTGGGATTGGGGGAGGGGGGGGGTGCAGTTTAGAATATATTTGAGATTTATTCAGGCCACCCTGTTCCGTAAACATATCTGATGGGGAGACACTGATGGCAAAGGCCGGGAAACATTCTGTGGGAGCCTAAAAAACGCAGAGAGGATGACGAATGAGTCATCTTCTTGTGAGGAGAGAAAGCGTGCAACCGGGAATGCACGGAACCCCTCCCCCGCCGACGGCCTGGCCTTCCCATTCAGGTACCGCATGGGCCGCCGCGCCTTTGAAGTGGCTGTTTGAGATGTTTCCAGTGTGACATAACCCCCCCGACGGAGCCCCCAGAGAATGACCCACCGCCTCGGCCGGCCCGCACCGCGGCTGCAGAATGTTCTAGCGATTGTCATGCCACATATTTCTATCCCCCCACCCCCCCACCCGCCCTGGAGCACCGCATGCCATATGGGAATCTCTGCCAGATTCCTAACTATGATATTATGGGAGATTTCTGCTGTAGACCGTCCACGGCATTGGGATACGGCTCAGAAAAGCCTGAGCGCAGAAAAGGCCCTTTAATGCTCCGCGTTAATCCACCCTGCAGCACGAGCATCGTCCGCGGCGGAAAGACACAGGAAGCATCTAATGAAGCACTAATAATCACACCTGAAAGACAGAAGCTGGACTGACAGCAGTGCAGGGCAACCTGCTAAAGTGATCTGGCTGAAGCGGCACTAATTACCTTCTCAGCTGCTATTTACAAGACGTGATGCACATTTAGACATATCGATGCAGTTTTTATTTCATTTTAGTTCAGTTGTGATTAATCTATACACTCTGTACTGGGGTCTTTCCCTTTCTAATAAAGTCACATTCACAGAACATGTATTCGTTCACTGTGCAATAGTACTAATTTATGAGCTTTTACGGAATTCTGTGCAATACTTTCCCTGACATTCCTTGCACTGTTACTGTTTATTGTTGTCTATTATTCATTGTATTTTTACTGACTAAATGTATGTATTCATGTACTGCAAACCCACAATTTCCTTTGGCATTAATAAAGTATCTATCTATCTATCTATCTATCTATCTATCTATCTATCTAATCAAGCATCTGCAATCTCAAAATTCACATTCTGGGGGGAAGAGGTATCAACAGACTCTGGGGACCCTCACGACGTGCAGAATCCATGAAGGGGACAGGAAACGAGGCTGGGGGAGAGCGCCCCCGCCCCCCCATTTGGACGCCGGTTTTGCCGGCCAACCGGGGAGGGATTAAGCTGAGACTTTTACGGCCAGCTCCATCCGTAATGACGCAGCCCTTAAAGGCTGGCGGCGTGACGAGGAAGCTGCTTGTCAGGGAGGAGAGGGGGTGACCGGCTTTGATGTCCCCCGCCTTCCAGATCCCAGTCCCGGCCAGGGTCGCAGGTCGAGAGCCCCTGAGCCTAACCCCTCCCCACCCTGCAGCCCCTGGTTTGCAGACAGATCAGGGAAACGTCTTATTCCTCAGAATTATCATGCACTGTGCAAACGACTTTCTTCCTTCTTCTCTAATCCCATTAAAGGGAGATTGATGGCACCTTCTTCTGACAAACCCCCAACTTCCAGGTTTATTCTTTCTTCTCTGTTACTGCTCCCTCATTCGTACTTCGCTTTGCGGCGTCTCCCCCCACTATCGGCTGCTCTCTTTCCCGTCCGGTGAAGGCTAACATCCACTTCAGATCCCAGTGTGAAAATAACTGCCAGTGCTTTCATTCGAGAAGGTATTTTGCTTAAGGAAGGACTCCACCTCTCATCTCCGTGGACGGAAATCGGTCAAGGCTAGATAAACAGGCCGACTGTCCTGTGGGAATAGCGCTCTTCTTAGCTCTATCAAGGCTTCGTAGTCTCTAAAAAGTTTGATTATAATTCTTTTTTTTTATTTCTGAGCTCCAAAAAGGGGTATCTATCGAACCAAGTGTTCAACCTTCACTGGAATTTGTGGAAAATTCAAAAATGTCTCCACCATTTTGCCTTTACACTCAGTTGCCATCATTGTCAGACAACGGATACCCTTGTTCTCTCCCTGTTAATCTTCCTGGAAACTGATGCTGGTTCTGTTACTCACCCCACTGTCATTCACTGCACAATGTACCTTAAAGACATACCGGCAAATACCCACCGTTCCTGCCTCTGCTTACCGTGTCTCCATCATCGCCTGCGGTCGAACGCGGAACCGTGAACACGGCTCCTCTTCCCGTAATGTTGCCCTGCCTGTCGACACGCAGACGGTAACAGACGGAATCTCCCCACGTTGTGTCATTCTTGAGTCAGAGTATGAGTCCATACAGGTTGTGTTGGATTTACGGCCAATGCTGCCGTTGGTTCTAATGAGCCGTAATGAATGCAGAGCTGCAGATGTAACTTTGTGCTGACTTCAGTAAAGGCTTTATGTCATGCTTGGCACAGCCATGCATGCAAAACAAAACATCAGTGACAGACTTAAAGGTTGGCGGAGCTGCCTCATTTACGGGACACTGGCATGAGGATGTCCTCGTTCCTTGGTGGTGAGAGGCCAGTTTCAGGTCCCTTCATACCATATATCGTTCTCCTGACACACTGGACCCTCCCCCCCACCTTTCAGGTCCACCAGCGGACTCCTGCTGCATGCGTGTGGTCTTGTCTGGGCTGGTTCGCTTTTGTTGAGCTAAGTCTGCAGCACACCCAGATATTGCTTAAAAATGCAAGGAGCAGGAATTACACCCCCCCTCCTATACTGTGCCCCTACCATTATACATCAGTATCTGGGATGTCTGTGCAGGACGCAAACTGTATACCCATAGCACTAACTGACATTGCTGCTTTACACTAGGTTATGCCAGTCTCAACCCGGTCCCTGGGGACCCCCAGACAGCCCACGTTTTTGATCCCTCTTGGCTCCCTGCCAGACCGTCCACATGGACCTGCTTGAGGCACATTACCCTTTGCTAACCATCCAACTGCAGCGTCAGTGTGAAACAAACACCTGGCCAAAAGGCAGATCTCACATACTTTGTGGGAGCAGAATCACACAGGTTCCAGATCATTTGAAGCTGATTACTGCTTTCGGGTAACAACCTCCCAGTTATGCTTCCACGTACGAGTGTATGTTTAAGGGTGCATTAGGGGAATGGATACCCTGGTAGATTCAGAGGGCCTGGGGTGGGGCAGGGGGCAAGGTAAAATTTGTCAGACAGCCCAGAATTTCTAGTTATGGCCCAGGGTGTGGCACACAACTGAGATGGAAAAAAACACAAGGAGGCAACAGACCACAGAGGTCACATACGCTATACATTTATTGTGCTGAACAATGCTGTGATAGAACATGATGTTCGTAACAAGCAAGCGATTGAAAGCATAATGAAAGACCACAAGTCTAGGTGAACAGCATGAAGCCAAAAGGAGTTAGAAAGCACTGGTCTGGGTCAGATGGAGGAGGGCGAGACACAGAGCAAGAAACAGTGATTTAGCTTTTCTAGAACTCTCTCCTGCTAATTTAACTACAAAACATTTCATACATGTCAGAAAAGTATTGTCCAGTCTTAGCTAACAATGGCCAAGCCAAGAACCAGGGAGAAATGCCTTGAATCTCTCTATAAACTCGCTGTGTGGGTGATATTACACATATATACTCTCCCTGTTTGTCCAGCCTTTAGTGTTATTACAGTTATACTGATTGAGAATGAGGTAACAGTAGGCCTTTGCAGAGGTAGTAATGTGTATTTGATTGTACTAGAACACATCGGAAAATACAAGGTCGACAACATTACGACTCCCAGAGCTTCCGACAGTGGCGTCCCAAGATATTCATTCAAGCCAACAATGAGGTAAAAAAATTCTTTAAATCAATCTTTTTGTTTTAAACTCAAGTACAGGTTTAAGAGAGATAAAAGCTGCCGACGACCTGTAATGGGAACGCCGTTACCTCAACGATGTCAGTCTTGTGCATCATAGGATCGAGAGCAGGCATCTGCATTCCCCACCCCCACTGTTCCACCCCCCCTCAGGTGTTGGTGGAAGGCTTAAGCGAGTTTCTGTTGAAGCCCCGGGGGGGCTGGCAAGCCATGGAAAGCTTAGCTTTGAGAGCCCAGACATGCCTTCGTCTCTGAGCGCATGGCTATGCTAACGCTAACGTGCAGCCCATTTAGCTAGCCGCTTTTAGCTTTTGTGATAAAAACATAGTTTCCCGGTCGTGATCACAGTACAGAAGGAAAAAAAAAAATCCTGAACCAGGCCCACTGTAAGGTTACGGGCCGGTCCAAGGACCTCCTTCGGCTTTGGTCAGATGTGATGCGTCTGCTGGACGCGGGTGCGGCTAAACGCTTTCGCAGCATAGCCGCAGGATCGAGGAGAAGGACGTGCTGGTGGTTTTCTTAGCTCAATGTGAGGCACTACCGCTCCCTGCTGGTAACGTTAATAGTTCAGAGGTTTATTGAGTAGGCATCGACATGCACACTGCATGATTAGCTAGTATGATGCGAACGAGATACAACGGCCCCCTAGAGGGCTAAACTAATAAACGAAGGATAAGAACACACTCCCACATACGCCAAACGTATGTACGTATGTATAATGGTGAAGTTAAAAAGTCAGATTTGGTCTGTGTGGCCGTCGAGCAGGCCATCCGGACTATAAACGATACGGGAGCCATCGGACGTGTTTTGATGGACATGCTCTACAGAGGCAGAAGCTGTGAAGCCTCACTGAAGTAAATGCAGTGACGTATAGAGTCTGTGGGAGCATCGTTCTCGAGAGTTAACATTTAGACAAAGCCTGTGTTTGGCTGGCAGGAAATGGAATCAGTCACTATGTAAAAAGCATTTCAAAATACAACTGGTTGAACCATATAACATATAAGAATCACATTTGTGTAAAATACACAGAATCACTAATCAAGTATATTTCAATATCTACTAATTTTTTATAACATATTCATGAATGTAATATACAAAATCAAAAATATCTTTTCCAAAACCTGCAAAGTTTCAAGTTTCTTTGAAGGTCAATTCTTCCCCACCATGAATTAAAATGTTTTATACGTTTTCTGTTACAAAAATACTTTGAATAGGGTTTATCTGCAGTCCTAAAAATATTTTTTTTTTGTTGTTTTAATACAACATTATGAAAAGTAATGATGAAATTATAAAGGCAGGTTCATTCCGTTTCAAGACTGGAGGTAGGTCTTTGACGACTGATTTTTAGTCCATTTTAAAACAGCTTGTTTTGAGGTACTAAAGCTGACAGTAAATAATTATGAAAACAAAACAAAAGTTAAAATTATACCGTGTAGGGTCATACAAGCATTGATCCTTAAGATAATAGAGTAAATCAGTACAAAAATATATTCAAGTTAACAATATGTCATACACGAGTCTTAGTCTGCAGAATGGAAGGCAAGGTCATGGTTAATTCGGTTCGGTAAAGTGATGCTAACGCACTGAAAGTTAATAGTAAAAACACGATAAACAGTTACTTGTTCCCTTAGCTGCTCACGAGACACACACGTATAAACAGTCCTCAGGTTTCAGCCCACAGTATTCTCGAGCCATGGGCGCGGGGGGCGCCATCGCTGAGCTGACCCGCTGGTCGCAGGAATCAGAGGTAGCTTGTAATGGTGAGGACATATTGCATCAGCTGCAGAAAGTGCCAGTGGAACGTAGGGCTGTTTCAAACACAGTGGGTTTTGCATTGCTGGCGAAATGGTCTGAGGCGAGGTGTCCTATGTCTGTCTTTTTTTGTTTTGCAAATTTAGGTGTTAAGTGTGTCCTGAGGTAAAGTGTAGTTTGTTCTTGCAAGAATGAGGTGAATCGCTATTCCCTTTAACCAACAGTAGTGTTCTCTTAATAGCTGCTTTCCCGTACATCGCTTGGCTGTGCTTTTCTCGTCCACCAAAGACACACAGCAACCAGAGGGACCGGAAAACGGCCCCCATGCCACGCCCTCCCCCCGCCGCTGCCGTCATGTGACTTCCGCAGAGCGACTCAGGTTCCAAAGGTAAATGAAACACCCCACCTGATTGAGAAGGGGGCTTAAATCTGCCAATCATGTGACCTGCTGCTATTTTCCATCAGGGTTAACAGCCCAACAGCAGCTGACTTACAGCTGGGGTCTCTCATTTGGGATCTGAAAACACAACCACCTTGCTTTTAAAAAGATAACTCGTGCACGAAATTTACTAAATGTATATCTCAACAGGTACATTCAGTCATGTTCGAGGCCCATCTGTATTTAACATGGATAATTTTACGCTTTAGGGTTTCATAAAAAGATATGAAACCTGGTAGCTGCTGTGTCTTTGGTGGCTAGACCTGGAAGTCAGTCTGTCCAATCGCAGCTCGCGAGTAAACGGAGCGGGCCAATCGCTCGCTGGCAATGGGGCGTGGCAGCCTGAGGCGGCACCCTCTGTGCCTACAGCAGTTTGGGCGCATCGCTAAACAAAGGTGGGCGCCTGCTTGTTCTCACCTTAGCAGTTGATGTTCTGAGGTTATATGTGTGTGTTTTTCCCAGATTACAAAAAAAACAATACAATGAAATTTAAAAATGGAAAAAAAGAAATAATGATAAAATAAAAGTGGAAAGACCAAAAAACGTCGAAAAGGGGAGTGGTAAAGGCAGTGTCTGTTTCCTTACGAAAGACCACACAGATGAATGAGGTAGAAATAAATTGCCCTGGTCAGTTAATCTTCCTCCTCTGGTGATTCTTCACCCTGTTCCTCTTCTTCCTGCCAGATAAAAGGGGGGGGGGGGTCATCATTTCATTGTTTTAGAATAACTGTCCCCTCACTGACAATGCCTCTGTATGTGAAACTGATTAATTGCCATTATTGACACAACACAGCAAACAAAGATGAAACATGTTGTAAGGTAAAGTAGTAAAGATGCCCCAGTGTTCTTGGTTGATCATTTGAATACATGCAGGGTTATCAAACTACGATCATGGGGAAAGTCAGGGAGAGAATGGGGTTCAGGTCGGCACCACTAGGGTGATAAGGAAGTAACTGAATTTACAGTGGCCAGAGAAGGCCAGTGGCCAGACTGAGTCTCTGCCCTGTCCTGCCCCAGGATCCTCACTCTCCAGGAGGTCACTATATATGTAAATTCACTCACAACACCTACACACAGCACCTTGTTGGGGGGGGGGGCTTTTGGGGTATAAAGGGGGGTGAAGAACTGCCCTTAATTTGTATTTGAGCTGCCTTTCAATGCCCAGTGTATGTCTACACTGTATTACATTATATTATTTTGCTGTTCAATAAACCATTGTTTTGCTGAAATAAGACTCTGGTAGTGGATTCCTTACAATGTCCTCTATATTTAACCTACATGTTACATCGTGCCATAGCAGCAAGCAGCTAATTTAGCAGCCGAAGAGCAGTGCTGGGGGTAGTACCTTGCTCAGGGTACCTCAGTGGTACATTGCTGGTGCAGGATTTGAACCAGCAACCTTTCAATTACAAGCATGCTTGCCTAACCATTAGGCCACCATCATAAGCGCACAGCATTGCTATGTCATATTATACCTGCTATCAAATGCCTGTGGATTGACTTCTGCTCCCTGTTTAGCCCGATCCATAGCAATCTGTCTGCATCTCCATGTTCCAGTGAGAGTCGTGGCCATCCCAGAAGGGGGGAGGGGGGGTCACGAGACCGACAGGATAGTGCATGTTTAGTTCACCTGTTCCCTGTTCATGCCATAAACATGTGCTTTTTGTTTACACCCACCCCCATCAAACCTGCACTGAGCCCCCATGCTCTGCCCATGACTCTTGTCCCAGTTTGTTTTGATTCATCATTACTTTCCATCAAACTTTCTATTTTTAGCCCGATTTAAGCCCTATAACCATTTCCCATAATCTTAACATCCCAATGTCTCTGTCAGATGGCACTCAGTTGCCTAACTATGAATTTATTTCACTTTATATCGTGAGAAGCCAATGTATTTCTGGAGAACTATGTAACGAACAAGCCAAGAACTGTTCTGCTGATTTACGTTGATGGATTAAGACAACACGGAGAAATCTAACAGGGAAATTTAGCAGCGATAAATCAGTCGCCTTTCAGGGGTAGGAACTTCAGATGCTCGTGAGTTATTGTTAGATGTCATAATGTTAGATTATCATCATTCGCGCACTTCAGGCAAAGAGCCGGATGCCTGTGTCGCATACAGTAATGAGAGGACACGAGGGGTAAGGGGCCATAGGCCCTCAGGAGAGCTGCCGTGAGCACCCCGGCGATGGCCACCGGCAGGAAGAGAAAAACAAAAAGGAATCCACTCCTCAAAATGAAAAAGACTTCATTTTCCACATGGCTTCATTTTATTCAGGGAGGCTAACTGACAAAATTTATAACCCTCTTCCTTTTCCAGGCGGCCCGAAGCTTGTCTGCATTATACAGCCAAACCTCCGTTCATTAGTGTGGCAGACACTTCAGCTGTGAAGAGCGGGCTAAACGTTACCATGTGTGACATGGGCAAGCGGGAACAGGGAGGCTGGGGGAGTAAGAACGCTTTAATCATGGGGGGGGGGTTACCTCCCCTCAGCCTGACCCCTCCCCTTTGAAAAGGTTTTCCATCAACTCACAGGAAGCCCTAAAAACAAGTGCCGGGGCTAAACCGTGGAAAAGTCCTGTGCTGATTTGGAGGGGCTGAACGGCTGCATTAATGAAGTTGGCCCTCGTATGTGTGGGGGTGGTATACCCAGGGCTGGGATGGAGTCTGTGGAGAGGCAGAGCCCTGCTGTCTGTGCCACGCTCCGTGCCCCTGCCGGCGTGCCGGGCCGAGACGCCACTTTCACTTCCTGTCCCATATTATGAAACGGCGGGGGGGCTCAGCCATTAATCTGCCCATCTGAGGGAAGCAGGCATCCCTCCTGGGGGTGATGGGACACCGTGGGCAAGATGCTGAGTGGAGATGCATGAGAGCAGTCGGTGCACTCCCACACTCAATGCTGGGGGGAGGTGGCCGCAAAATATCCTCTACAGCACCATAGCACACTGCTCTTCGGGAGCACCTTTCCCAGCAACTTTGAAGTTAACATGGGGGGGGGGGCACAAACAGTAATGAGTGGCAGAGCCGATCTCATTAGGGCCCCGAGGCTTTTGGAAAGGCCCTGGCTGCTGCTTCCGGGTCAAACAGCCCTCCCACAATCCCCCAGCCTTTACTCAACACGAAGAGAAAGGTTAGGATGGAAGGCAATTGGGGGGGGGCAGCCCGAGTCCATCAAAGCAAGGGCGCTTAGGGGACACTTTATAGAAAAGCCCCCCCACTCGACCCACCCATCACCACCCTCCCAGGTCTCAGAGTGGTGAGCTGCTCAAAGCCCCTACCCGTCACCGCGCCCCCCCATTCCCGCCCCGCTGCACAAAAGCAGCAATGAGGCCGCAGTTATGCATTCACACCGAAACAATCTGCACTGCTGAACAGGGGGACGCGCAGGAATTCCTGCCACCCGGCAGGATGGGAGGGCAGCACATGGGGCCCGGCCCCCAGGGCCCGCCCCCTGGGGCCCCACTCCGCACTGCCCCCTGGGGCCCCACTCCACACTGCCCCCTGCTTCCAGCCATTTATAAGGCTTCTAATTACCAGGCTGAGTCATATTAATGTCTCCATACATTAGCCAGGCTATGGATGTGACCACAGTAAAAGTACATTTTCTTACTACAGAAAATATAATAATAAGCTCTTTTTCACTCCCTGGTTTTGAAAAGAGAATTCAAACAGGATACAGAAAACACACAGCTGTTAAATATGACACTAAATCGGATTGATTATGCAGACATTTTTGAGGGATCTGCATCATACAGGACGTTGCCTCTTGTGGATAACTCAGCCCTCAGACCACGAAAGAGCAGGTCTAGCGTTTATAAAGGATTTGGAGCTTTTGCTCCAGATATCCGCATGAAATCTCAGCCTTTGGCCTTTGGTTAACGCTGCTTGTGCAGCCAATAATAGACATCTTAGAGTTGCTGCTATTAGCACTGCTGCTGTTACTGCTGTTAGAGCTGTAAGTACTGCGACTGTTAGAGCTGTCAGAGCTGACATCGTTAGCGGCATCAGAGCTGCCGCTCTTAGAGCTGATACTGTTAGAGCTGCCACTGTTAGCGCTCTTAGGGCTGCCGCTGTTAGAGCTGCCACTGTTAGCGCTCTTAGGGCTGATACTGTTAGAGCTGATACTGTTAGCGCTCTTAGGGCTGCCGCTGTTAGAGCTGCCACTGTTAGCGCTCTTAGGGCTGCCGCTGTTAGCACTGATACAGCTGAAAGTGCTGCTGCTGTTTGCACTGTTACAGCTGAAAGTGCTGCTGCTAGCTCTGTTTAATCTAGGGTTGCCACCTTCAATGTGATGAAATAAGGGATGCCCACCCCCCACTTTCCCTTAAGGGTGATGCTATAATATTTGGGGAAACCGATACCTACAGCTGCCAAGTTAGCTATGTTAGAACTCCTGCCATTGCGCTATTAGAACTATTGCTGTTACCACTGTTGAAGCTGCCACTGTAAGCGCTGTTAGGGCTGCTGCTCTTAGCGCTGCTGCTCTTAGCGGCGTTATTAAGGCTGCCATTGTTAGCGCTGTTAGGGCTGCTGCTCTTAGCGCTGCTGCTCTTAGCGGCGTTATTAAGGCTGCCATTGTTAGCGCTATTATTACGGCTGCCGCTGTTATCGCTATTAGGGCTGCCACTGTTAGTGCTGTTATTACAGCTGCCACTGTTAGCGCTCTTATGAGAGCTGTCGCTGTTAGCTCCGTCATTAGAGCTACAGCTGTTAGTGCTGCCGCTGATAACGCTGTTATTAGACTTGTCGCTGTAATGCTGCTAGAGCTGATGCTGGTAGAGCAGTTAGGGCTACCACTGTCAGCTGTAGCTCTATGTACACAAGCATTGTCAGCTAATGACAGTTTTTTCCCATGCTTTAAAAAAAAAGCCCTACAGTCTTCTCTGGTCTTTTTCCTCTGGAAAACTTACGGGGAGGAAGCAGGGGAAAGTTGCACACCTAGGAAATCCTACCCCAGGTATTGCATGGAAAGGTTATTCCCAGATTGTGTCTTTTAAAGGAATCAACCTCGTTTGAGACAGATAGGAAAATACAGCAACAAATTACAGCATAAAAGTAAGTAAATGTAACCTGCGAAATGGATTTGAGCAGAGCGAGAATGCGACTCGGTCTGCGGTATGGTATAACCATCTATGCTGAGGGAAGCAGATGGAAGAGGCTGAGGTGTCTCCCAGAGCCAGCTAAGATTTACATTATCCTTGATGAGCGTCCATGCAGGTCCCGTATCTACATGATTCATCGCTGTCTCCTTGGCCTGGTCTGCTTCTGCAAGCACGTGTGCTCGGCTCCCCGGCCTGGGTGTCCCACATTGGCCCTCCCTCTGCCTGCCAGGACACCCATCCGTCCACCTCACAGAGCCTTTCTTCAACACTTCCTACCAGTCACCATCCCACTCCCTTTACATCATCAACCACAGCAATGCACCTCATTACACCAGAACTGGAAACTACTCTATAGTGCTGTTTTCAGAATGTGCTATTTTCTGTAAATTGATAGGCCTGCAAACAGCGGATGAGTGGTAATTAGGAGACACTTGTGTTTACATGAGCAGTGACTGGTCCATGGGTATGACTAAAGGCGTTTTCCCACCGAAGTTCAGGAACCTAGTTCCTGGTTCCAAGTTCCTGAGCTGTCTCGACCAGAAACTTTTGCAACTCCTGGCCACTCTCATTTGTCACTTTCCCGCAGCATAACAGAAACTGTGACCTTCATGCTAAATAAGCACGGAGGACAAAAAAAGCTCGGAAATTAAACTTCACACGTAATTTCATATGAAACTACACCGCCACCCCAAAATAATGGAGGATGAACAAGTCATTTTGTTAGTTACTGGGGGGATCAGTCGTGGAGTCCAAAACAGGACAAAGCCTTTTATTTCTATTTTATTTATACAACGCTGAACATGTTAATAATTCTTTAATAAATCTAGCCATATCATTGATCTTTCGTTTGCCACAAAATAAAAAATGCTGTGAGTTTATTCCACAAATAAGCATTGGCAGGTTCCGCTGCCAGCAACGGCAACATTATACAAAAGTATATCAGTTATTGATCAAATTTTCCGATGCAGAAATATGAAGGTCCAAGCGAACAGGTATTCATTGATGCATTCATAATTTTGTTGGATGACATATTTTTCCAGAAATAATTGCAGTTAATGATATTATTGTCATTTAAGGACCATTTTATGGCACTGATATAATAGCATTAATAAAAGTAGAAGTATGTCCTTTCGAAGAGCAATGAAAGTCTTAAAAATAACCAGACATTGGATTTGGAATGTCAAAAAAATTTAAATATCCTAAATATATAAAACATAAATAAACCCACACAGCCAGTAACCTAGATTAAATGGACTCTCAGGCTTTGGAAGTTAGACAGTAGTCAGACCAAAGACTGCATATAAACACCTTTTCTATCCTCCATGATCAGAATGATAACAAAAATGGGTAATGGATTTCAGGAATGGTTGACTGAGAAAGTATGGAAATACGGGCATTTATATGAATCTCCGCTCAGGATTATAAAGACTCCCACATGGCTACAAACTAACATGAAATACATTTGTGCTGCCACCCCATAAACCCGGGTATGTTTTTGCATCAGAGCTATTATCATTTTGATTTTTTTTATGTTTTTATATTTTTATATGAAATCTAGTTTGCTTTTAGGTATGATCGCATTAGTTTTATTTTAAAGGTGCAAATCTATTTTGCTTTAAGATTTAATAACTTCTAGAAACAAAGGGAAAGTTGTAGGACTTTGCAGGCAGATACAAAATGTCACAATGTACCGCTACTGGCTGTTTCTCAAGGCCCCCCCCCCCCCCAACAAAAACAAATCATTACTTTGGCTAAATAGTAGCTGGTAACAGTAGTAACAGTAATGGGAAGTATTTGACATAAGTTCTGTTTTTATTTCAGTTGGTTTCAGAAGCAATATTTATAGTTCTCATTTAGTTGTAATTTTCATTTTATTTTCGTATCTTGATTTATTTCAAGTTAATGGAAATGTTTTTGTGAACGATAATAACCCTGTCTTGCATACTGTAAGTACACAATGCACGGATAGTTTTACAAAAAATCTTATTTATTCCTATAATATCCGTGACTTTTAAGAGCAGCTTTGCTCTACAGCGCCACCCCCTGCCCGCTGTCAAAGTACATGTCTGCCTGGCACATTGCTGCTAGAAGTATGAGCGTTGAGGATCGCAGACAGTCCAGCACTGCGCTGCGTGCGCTCATGCGTGCGCTCACTATGAATCGGCCCTGAGGGCAGCAGCCACGCGACTGGCTGAAGTATTGGTGACAGTCATTCTTACATTAACTAACATGTATGTAAACTCAATTTTCCAATATTGAGGACAAAAAAATGATCGAGGTTATGTCAATCTATTGTGCGATAAGTTGATAATGTAATTATCGTGACAGGATTACTTCCGCATAACTTCCAAGTCAATCAATCAGCAAGTTTATCACTATAAGGCCCACCCAAGTAGTTTGAGGTCAAACAAAAAGTACGTAGTCCAGAGAAGGGACTAGAAAATGGTTCCAGAACTACTTCCAAGGGGCTAAAATTGGACCGAATTCCTGCAGTGGGGATGTTACAGCAGTTACTGAAAAAAAAGTCCTGGTTCCGAAAAAAAGGTCCTGTAGTGGGAAAGTGTCTTAAATGTGATGGAGAATGGCTGTGGTGAGTGAATGTTATCTGATATATTGGCATTCATAATTACTTCCATGCAAATCTGAGTGGTCATAAGAAATGGCCACTGCAAAACGGATGACGTGAGCAGCATAAGTGGAAGGAAACGATTGTGGTGGAACTAAGTCAATAGCTCGCTAGTGATTGGATGACAGGTGTGTTTGCATAACTGCTTATTGGTGGATGCATGAATTTAGGCGAATGACAATACATGGAATGGTTCAGGCAGTGCAAGCCGGGGGGGGGGCGGGGGCAGCTGTTCCAAGCACGTACCTGAGCGGGCTTCTTTTGGACCACTTGCTGTGGCTGAAAAATAAGAAGAAAAGATTATCGGTGTGGTGTCCATACATTTAGATGGCGTCCCACAGGCAAAGACACTTCAACCTCAGAAACGCCTCAGAGCCTTCAAGGCAAAATTCCTCAGAACCTCGTAGAAGCACCCCCTGGAAACATACAGGTCGTACCAGGTAACCCATCCTCTAAGTGAAAGTTTCAGTTCCTCCAAGATCATGCCACGCCTATACATGGAGAGGCCGTGTATAACTACTCCTGCGCTTCCCCCGGTGATGCTAAAGCCTCATGGGATATTCACCGCACCCGTAACCAAATGCTTGCATGACTGAACCCTGGGAGTGACCAGCTCCTGTTGGAACGCCACTGGCCTGGAACGCAATAAATGTCAGCGGTGTGCGGATATGGGCAGGAAGTATTGGGGGGGGGGTCATGGGAGCGGCAGCCTGAGAAAGCATGCTAAGTACAAACAAGCCCCAATCGGCCCCGGAGGGGACAGCGCCATTCACAGCAGCGGGGCTGCACACTCCGCCCATGAGACACGGGAGCACAAACACGATATTCACGCCGAACATTAGACGGGCAGGTGAGACGGGCACGGCGCATAATTCAAAGACAGGACGCTTACGGCATTGTTGTTCCCGTCTGCTTCCTAATTGGGAGCGAATCGGCTGGAATATCCTCTGAAAGCTGAGTTCTTTATGCGATTAATGACCAAATAATCACCATCCAACAGACGTGCGAAGGCGCCTGTATAGGCATCCGTGACTGTGGGGGTGGGTGACGCATGCTCACCACATAGAGGCCTGCACCTCGTCACGCGCCTAAAGGCGAGCAGACCGCCTCTGAGCTCTGAGCGTGAGGACACGCGCTTTTGTTTGTACTCTTTGTGTGAACCTGAGCTTGAGAGGGCATCTGTAAACCGACATGAGCGACTCGACGCCGACGCAGGGGCGTGAACGGCTGCCCTCTCCGCGTAGCTGTGAATCCGCTTTTGTGTATGTATGTGCCCGGGGGGGGAGTCTGTATTAACTGCCACCGACGTCACGGAGTGCCCACGCCGAGGGGGCAAACAAAGAATGACCTTCAGGCTGCTTCGAATTAATAATTCAGTTTGACTTACATTTTACAAGTGAAACTGTCTCTTATCCCTGAAATGCGTAAAGCCAAACTTAGAGTGTCCTTGTTTTGGACTTGGTGTTTAGGGTTAGCAATTAAAAAAAACCATGAACCCATAATCTAGAGTGACAGAACCACGCAGTAGAGAGTTTGGACCCTCGTTAAAGGCCACACAGATTGTCCCCCAATGTTTTTTTTTTTTCCCGCTTCCTAGCCTTAGGTAAGAGACCCCAAATCTCACATGCATGGAAGTAAGTAGATTTCTGAAGGTGACTTTAAAGCTGGCCCTGGCCAGTCCTTATTGAATGCAAGGGATGGCGACCCGAAGATGAGATGCGGTGAAACCGAACCCCAAGGAGCTGAGCGCCTCCTCCGAGTAGGAGTGGGGTCTGACTCCCCATTCATGGCCGGACCGTCTCCTTTTCATGCAAAACAAAATGGCAACATTGTCTCTGGCGGGTAGGCAAGTGCTCACACCTTTGATCTCCCCCCAGCCCACGCTATTAATCACGTCAACATCAGCCTCGGCCAGGGCTCCTCCAATGGTACCGTAACGTGATCCACCTTGAAGAATGCACCCCCCAGGGCTCTGCGCTGCTGCCTACCTATCTTTAAATCTTATGCTGATCAAAGCGAGGAGTGATCACCCCCCACCCGCCCGATCCACCCGACACAAACTGCCATTCACCAAGCCATAAGCGGGTGTGCTCATTGACCAGTCGCAATAAGACCCCGCCCACCCCCCCAGGATGCCATTGGCGATTCCCATAACCAACACCTGACGAAGGAGGGGGTTAAAATCATGAGGTGCCTCCAATAGACCCGTGTTTCCATCGTTTATACCTTCCACATTACCACACTGAACCTGCTGCACAAGCAGACGATGATTTATGGTATCCAAGCTAATCATTAACCATTTCATAACAAAGGTCAGCAAACTGAAAAAGGCTTTGTTTTGGGAAAATGCATAATTCTTTTGATGTCCTGGTGTACTAATGGCTAATTACCTTTGAGTGCAGCAACCCGTTAACTAAAATTTACATAAATCTGGCTCCTGGACTTCTGCTCTGCTACTCCACCTCCTGATCAGATGTTCAGCATGATGGAAATATACTTCTCCTTAATGGAAATCAAACTGATATCAGATGGCTTCCTTCGACGTCTTATCATTATTGCTTAAATGTGCTTATAATACAAAGCAAACGGACCAGACGGTCACCTACATGGCAAACGCCGTGCCCAAGGAATTTATTTTTCTATATAAACCTGGCTATCAAGTATCTGCTCTCAAATGGATAAAGTGATTGTGAGGATGTGCTGTGATATCAATAAAAGAACAGATGTCAGAGGGAAGAAATCTAGGAATAAAAATCCAGTTTTCCACAGCTCTGAACAAAAAATGTGTGAAGGAATGTGTGAGGAATGGCAGGAATGCCCAGCTCTGTCATCCGAGGACGGCACAGGTGGGGCAGCAGTAGGGCACCATGGGAAATCACCGCCACATGGAGGAACCTGGCAGGGAAACGGGAAAACGAGCCGAGAGGGGCGAGGACCTGTTTGGTCGGGCAGCGGCTGCACTGCCAGCCGACTCCGAAACAGCCCATCAATGCCAGCATTGTGTGGCGGAGTGAGCGGAGCCCCCGGTTACCTCAGCCACGCCTATACTGGCCGCGATTCACAGCACGCGGCCACCAAGTATGGGGTGATCAGCCACAGGAAAACCGGCCTGTGAATGTATGTCGGTCTCTGATTAATGGTCATGATATGATCCAGGTTTTGTCACATCTTTGACATCTGAATACACTGATTATGTAAATTAACGTGCAGTTTTCTAACTGATGGACACACAATTCAGACAGAAACTGGAGCAGAGCTTGTAGGAGAAAAAAAATCAAGGGAGAACCAAACCAAGGGTGGCGCCACCCCTGAGCTGAGGGGATCCCACACCCATACTAAGGATGGGTCTGAACTGCACCCAAGCCAAGGATGGCCCTGTACCCAAGCCAAGGGTGGTCCCACCCCGAGCTGAGGATGGCCTGCACCCTCGAACCGTGGGCTGCCTGCGCCCCCAAGCCAAGGGTGGTCCCACCCCGAGCTGAGGATGGCCTGCACCCTCGAACCGTGGGCTGCCTGCACCCCCAAGCCATGGGTGGTCCCACACCCAAGCCAAGCAGGACCACGCACCCAAGGCAAAGGTGGTCCTGCATCCGGGCTGAAGGGGACGACGCACTTGAGCCGAGGGGGGCCCCACACCCAGACCGAGAGGGGCCCAAGACCTGAACCGGAAGTTCTGAATATAAAAAAGGACTAGCAGCCAATAGCAGGATTAGGAGGAGCGCCGAGTGCACTGGCAAAGCCTCCTACCATCAGCTCAAAGCGGGCCAGCAGGGAGACGTACAGCTGGCCCTTTCCTGCGGAGGATGCCACTACCCTTCCCCACATCTGCAGCGGCCCAGGAGAAGGCGCAAATCATGCATGACTGCACACCAGCGCGACGCGTCATCTCAGCTCAGATGTGTGTGACCCCAGGTCATTAACCGCTCCACCTCCTAAACACGCACCATCCTCCATAACCACTTATCTGGCACAGTGTTGTCCCAAGATCTGCACAGCACAGGGCACTATGCCAGCCCCTCACAGGGCACTATGCCAGCCCCTCACAGGGCACATGTGCACATACACATTTAGACACAGTCATACACTATAGGAAATTTAGACTAACCAATACATGCAACTGCATGTTTTGGGCTGTGGGAGGAGAGACATGCAAACACAGGCCATCCAACCGGTCACCGACCCGCACGGCGTTCTAATCAAAGGCAGCGAATCAGGGGCCAGCGGGAGGCCGCCGCCACAGGGAAAATGCTTCCCTGTTCTCCAGGCTTCATACGAGTGGCTGCGGGCCCTGGCAGGGCCACTGTGGAACGTGCCACAACAAGGCCCAGCCAAGTGTTGTGCGTGAGCCAATCAAATCCTCCCCTTTGGCTGGCCCTGCCAATCCCTGCCTGCATGCCAAGAGCCATTTATTAGAGGTTGCCTCATACCCCAAATTTCTGCTTGGCTTTTCCCCTGGATCTATGCAACAGGCAGGGACACTACCCAGCCTGCAGCTGACCTTGCAGGTCACCATCTGGAGTGACCCTGTACCCTCCCACACGCACTCTCCACCGGCGGGCCCTCCCGCTACGCGCGCGCTCTCCCCACACATAGGCCCTCCCGCTACGCGCGCGCTCTCCCCACACGCGGGCTCTCCCGCTACGCACGCGCGCTCTCCCCACACGCGGGCCCTCCCGCTACGCACGCGCGCTCTCCCCACACGCGCGCTCTCCCCACACGCGCACGCTGTCCACGCGCACGGGCCCTCCCGCTACGCGCACGCTCTCCACACGCGCGGGCCCTCCCGCTACACGCGCGCTCTCCCCACACGCGGGCCCTCCCGCTACGCGCGCGCTCTCCCCACACGCGGGCCCTCCCGCTACGCGCGCGCTCTCCACATGCGGGCACTCCCGCTAAGCGCCCGCACTCTCCACACGCGCGGGCCCTCCCGCTACGCGCACGCTCTCCACACACGCGGGCCCTCCCGCTACGCGCCCGCACTCTCCACACGCGGGCACTCCAAGCACACACTCTCCACACGCAGGCCCTCCCGCTACGCACGCGCGCTCTTCCCCCACACGGGCCCTCCCGCTACGCGCACACGCTCTCCACACGCGAGCACTCCAAGCACACGCTCTCTATTTTTTCCCAGTTTGTTTTATTGGTCTTTGGGGACGTAATTTAATGGCAGACTGGGGAAAACACAGGGTCTGACTTTGACGGGATGTGACCTGACACCCAGCCCCATAAGGACCCCACACTCAACACCCTATGAGCAGCCTGGGGAAGGGTGGAGGCAC